ATTATGCCTGCATGAAGATCTTTTACACCTTGATATCAAGATGCCTTTCTAATTCAGATCCTTGGTAAGTGACTGATTGCTTACTCTAGACTTTGTTAGCTTCCCTATGATCACCTCTTAGATTAGTAGTTTTAGGCTTTCTTTGCCTTGCTAAGGTCCCATCTTGTTTGATTTTTTGTGCATGTAATTCCTTAAATGTAAACTGTTGACAAAGTCTGGGTCTAGAAGTGAATTCAGCTATACCCGGGCTCAATGATTACAAAACAATGTAATGTTATTTTGCTGTATGAACTATGTGACTGTTTATGGGTCTGAACATTCACTGTATTTAAAGTCACATTAACTCCAGTAGCATGTCTGATCTATGCAGAGCTTTCAAGTGATCTTTCTGAGAATTTATGTATTACAATAATAATAAAGCAAAAGAAAAGATCTGGTTTTCTACATTGATCACTTGCAGCAGTTTACCTGCTGCTCTAAAGACAGAATGTGTCTGTGGCAGTTTATGCAGTGTACTTTGTACATGAGAAAAGTATAGACACATTTAAGTATCTGGAAAAATGGAAAGCCAAATAAAATAGGTAAACAAAGATGATAGGTTTGTAGTATATAATTCTTCCAAGTTTTCTGTGTCTACTAACACAACAGAGAACAGACAAACTAGAAGATCTTTGCTACTTCTCCAAATTACCTTGAAAATATAACTAACTAATTTAAGGGGGGGGGGGGGGGGGGAAGGGGGAAGTCTACTACATGTTACTGGAAGAAATATTGCCATCAGTAAATTAAAAATGTATGACTGGAGCTGCATAGCATCTGCCTACATAAAGCTGCTTCTGTAGGTAGTGAGGGAGGCCAGAGGACTGAAACAATGAACCACAGATGGATCATGTAAATTGTTCAGACTTGTACATTTAATACTGATGTTATTTTCAAATCCTGGTAATCTAAGAGTGAGGCTTTGTTCTTGATGATATCTCTACTGTTTAATTTCCTATTGCTTAACAGTTCAATTACTGCTTGGTTATGTGTAGCTATATGGAGAAGAACTGTTATTAAACATTTGTTCAGCATTTATTTTACCTCTCTCTTTATTGCTGGTAACACTGAGAAACAGGATAAAATGAGAGAGGATATTCAATAGAATAGAATGGATTTTCTCAATCAAGCTTTAATTTTATATACGTTTTTTTCTGGGTCTTTCTGTTTTCTAGTTCAAGCCTAAAAAAGAAGGTGGGCTTCAAATAAAAGCGTGTAGGTCAACTTGAAAGAGCTCTGACTTGTATTCAGTATCTGGCCAATTACCCAAAAACAGAACTTTATCTATACTTACTTGCTTATGTTTGAATACATATATGAAGTACCTAATAAATTACTAACTGTTTTTCTTGCATGCTAAATTACTGTCAGTTCACGTACTAGGTTTTATTTTGGACTTCCTTTCTATTAATATGAGTAGGATTTTTTGAATACTTTTTCTTTTCTGGAGTAGAAACATTGTATCCTAGTACTTGGACTCTGGTATGAGTCCAATTGACTCCTAACTGACAAGTAAGTTCTAAGATTGACTTGTATACAATTTATCATTATGTCACGCTGAATTACTACAGAAAAGCGCAATACGTTTGTCTTACACAGCATGCTCAGTTTCAGGGACCAAATCCTATCTTCTTCAGTCATAAGACAGCTCTTACTCGTCCTTATTTACCACATTGTTCAAGATATCTTGAGTTGCCTGTCCAGGTAGGATTATTGGAAAGCTTGTGTCCTACTTGAGAATATCTTTTAAGGATGGTTTTAGACAGTAGTGAAGTAAATCAGGGCTTGCTGAGGGCTGCCAGATAAAGATAAAGCTGTTTGATACCTCAAATCATGTGAAAAAGTCAGCAAAAGGCACGGCTCTGAATGAGAGCTGTTTGAGCATGCTGCTCCCTTCTGCCTATAATCACTGCTGCTTCCCTCAGTGGAACACTTCATACTGCAGGATTGTGTTGATCAGCAGCAAGTGGCTGTTATGAAAACTAGTGTCTGCTCTGGCCCATTTCTTTTTAAATTGGCTGTAACTTTGGGAAACTATTTTTGTTTGCAGGCACATGAATTTTAAAGGAAAAGGTTGCTTCACTGTCCTTCTTGGTCAGATTGATTTCTGTTTTAAGAAATAATTATTCTTTATACTTTCTCCTGTCTTTCATTAATCCTTCATTTTTTTCCAAAATATTTCTTGAGTAATCTTATATGTTGAAGAGGCATGTAAATAATAATAATATATATTGATCTCTGATAATTATTTTACACTTAAACAGAGTTGCAGTGAGCTTGCACATTGATCCCCTCTGCAATTTCCAAACATCAGCTACAGTTAAAAGGTATTGCTGGCCTATGCAGGTGAACTCCAGTCTATTGAGCTTCTTACAGATGGAATTCATCAAGTTGCTCGCTGGAGAACAAACTGGTTGGTAGCTGGGATCCCATTCATGATGTGACATACCTCTGTTGTCTTTGCCACAATATGCTTCATAAGATGAATAGAGTTTCTTCGCTATACCACAAAAAAGAAAAAGAAAAAAAAAAAAAAAAAAAAAAACACATACAAAACAAAAGAATAGGCCATGACCTGTATCTTATTTGTACCAGTGCTGCAACTGGTAAATTTCCTAGTGATAAAGATAATGCACGAGTACAAACTGTCATGAAAGAAAGCTCCTGTCATTTGGATTTAATCAGCTGGAAATTTACATTGTGAGTTAATTATGCCTGCGGTCAGTCTGTCTTACAAAACAGAACTATTTCGTCTCTCTCGGACATCAGCAAAAGAACAGAATAGCATAAATGGATTAAGGTACCACTTCTAACCCGCAATTAGCAGCAGGAAAAAACTCCATCATAATCAATTCTTTTTAATTTACCTTTCTGTTCAGTAAAGCATTGAACTTGGTGCTTGAAGGTCTTTTCCAGCCTAAATATAAATCAGAGGAAAGATTTTCAAATGAAGTCTAATTTTGATTTGGAATACGCCCTGGAGTTTTTGAATCTGGCAGATATCAAGCTTTCTGTCAGAGTTTATTGTTTTATTCTTATGAACGGCAACTAGAAGGAGATGCACTGAGATTCTGAAGCTCATAAGAAATATTGAGCAAAACTGGGAGACCATCAGTCTCCTCATATGCTTCCTTTTCTTTTCCAGATATCTGGCACTTAAGTGGAACATGGTGTGATTTTTTTTTTTTTTTTTTTTTCTTTCCCATGGCTCTATAAAACTTCTACCTGAAAATTCTACTCATCTTTGCTGAGATAAAACATGCTAACCTTTAACAAGTTGATGTCATCCTTTTTCTGCATGGTTAAGAAAAAAATGCAATTTTTTTAGATGCATGCAGAGCACTGTATCACCACTGTGTTTTGAGTGAAACAAAGAGCAAAGTTGAGCTGTCCACTGCCTAAGAAAAGCCTTGACAGAGCACTGACTCTGCCTTACCCTAAAGCAACGGAGCCATATCATTCAATATGTGGTAGTGGTGAAAAGGAAACCCTTCATGTTATAGCACTTAATTCTGTATTAGCATTGAGTGATGAGGGACCTAAATTACTTTACAAAATTGGAACTCTCAGCTATCTCCTTGTTACTTAATATCTAGAGATTTGATGCTTCTAATTCTAAGTAATTAATTGCTAGTTAAACACCCAAGATCTTACTTTATATTGAAGATACATCTGCATTGCACGTGTGTGGTGCTTTATTCCTTTTCTAATCTGATGGATTCCTAAAAGAAATGTAGAGCTGGAGACCTTCATGCAGACAAAGGAGGAGCTTCTAGACAGCATACATAAACTAGTTCTGCTCTGGAATAACCTGTACTGTCATTGCCAGCTTAGATATACAAAAAGGGACATCATGACTCATCCACCACTACTGTGTGAGCAAAAAAGAATAATCTCAGTAGTGCACAATTATAGGCATTGTTGCTAGAAAAACCGAAGCTGTAGGATTTTTTGGCATTTTTAACCAGATAGATAAGATGTCTGAAAATCTGAATGTGACAGGTTGTATGCTTCCTACCAATTCCTCCACCTGTTAGACAAAATGTCTACTGATATAGTTATAATGTGTATGTATCACTTCAGCAGTTGGAATAACTTTTTTTTTTTTTTTTTTTTTAGCAGGGACAATATGAGCAGCTTAATGCTGTGGTCTGAATCAGAACTTGGGCAATATGTATTTTTTTAAATGTAAGTTGTTATTATTACTCATCTCCTACAGTAATATTCCTTCAATAATAAATGTATTGTGGACAAAGAATATTAATGTAAAAGCAGTTGCTGTGATAGTTTAGCTTTGGAGCAATGCTTCCATTTTCCCTTTGCATAGCTATTAATCAATCTCCTGCATCAAATCTGTATTGTTAGGATAGTTTGGTTAGGTCATAGTTGGACTTGATCTTCAAGATCTTTTCCAATCAGAGCAATCTATGATTCTATATCAGTAACAACACTTATTCTAACATCACCGTCTGTTATTACTTCAAAAGGCAAACTGCTAGAGCTACTGTGGATGAAATTATCTGGTGGAAGACACTACATGGTTATACTGTTTCTAGTCAGTGGCAACAAAAAAAAAGACATTGTCACCTGTGTGCAGCTGCGAATATTGAGCTGAAAGAGTACACTTCTAGTCCACAGTCTCTCTCATGAATATTTATGAGAACATTATGCACCAAGGAAGTTGTTGAAAGCCTGACCATCCAGCAGATACAAATCCATCACCACCACTGCAAAATCTTGCAGGCATTTGAACAATCATTTTCTGAACAAACAGTTTAGGAGGTGACTTTTTTTTTTTTAATCATCATGAATGTCTAAGTTTATGACTTGGAGAGGCTGTTGGTTATATTTTTGGACTACTGTAGGATTTAGCAATTGGATTTTTGCCAGTGTGTATTTGGAGATAAAGGGCACTGGCCCACACCTGGAAAGGGATGTTCTCCAGGAGCAGACTTTAAGACCTGCTATACGTGGAAGGAACTCTACTGGTAATGGTTAAAACTTCTCGTTGTCACTGTCAGTCTGTCTCTTGTGATATTTTGCACTTGAACAAAATGTTTCACAGCTGTCTGTATGGCCAGGAGGGAGAGTCTTTGTCATTTGGGATGTGAGCAGCCAGGCAGGAAAAGAACATTTTATTTTAAAGGCTGTAACTGCAGGTGTAGAAACAGACCGCTTTCTTCACCACAGAAGTTGCTCAAGGAAATAGGTATTTACTAAGTAATATTGCATGACTCTTGTCTATTCTTAACGTCTTTAAAGCTTGTACCAGTCTTCAACTCTTAAAAAGATATTTCTTTGCCAGCATTGATTTGCCACTGCAAGAGAAAACATTGCACTTAGCATTACCGTTGTAGGAATATTGGCCAGTAAGTTTTCCCGTTTTAATTTGTGATGAGGGGAGAGTGAGCAAGTTTGCATGCAGTGTTACTGTGGGGGTTACAGAAGACATACTGTTTTGACATTATGATGGATGCTGTCTCTAGATATCCTTACAAAGAAAAATTGTACTAGATTTGTTAAAATTATTTTCCAAAATCTGTACTAGCAATGCAGATGGCTTTTGTGTCATCTTTCTTGTCATGTGTGAAATGAGTCTCTACCTCACTGACTCCAGCTGCTCATCTGTGACCATTTATGTTGCTTTATATCATGGAAGGCATGAAGACATGCTGTGACAGGCTCTCCAGAATACAAGTGTGCAGAGGTCTGCCACTTTGGCTGAAAAGCTGTATTTTTTTCTCCTGCCTGTTTTCCAAGTTACCAGCCTGAGGATGCTGCCCTAATTACTATTTAAATTATAAGGTTTAGGAGATTTTTAGTAAGATTTTACTTTTGTGCTTTTTACAATCTAGTTTGGATGTTTCTTCATGCATGAAAGTAATATTCTTCTCTCTGACAAATTACATTCTAAAGCACGTTTTATTGCACTTAAGCTAAAAATTTATGGGTTGTCAAACTTAACAGTCACATATTAAAACTCCAGGCAGAAAAAGCAGCATCTCTTTAACCATTTAGTTTTTCCAAACCTCTAATAGTTTACCTTGTGCTGGTGAAGTGTATAATGAACTGTCAGCAGTAACAGACTAATGTCAGAGCAGGCTGTTGACATACTAGAACTGTCCAGCAAACATTGTATTTAAATAATGCATGACTTCATCTCTTCTCCCTTAAGGAAGAAGGTGGTCATTAATGACACCTACATGACAACTGAATCAGCAGCAGGTGACTCCTGAAATGTCTTTTAGGGCAACTGTTAAAATGCTGCTTTTCTGTGTCACTGTAACAGAGCATTTATCTGGCACACATCTCTTTGTCTAACTAGATTTTGCAAATATCACTTTTGCAAACCTTAATGAAGAACTGAAGCAATTCTAGGTTCACCGAACTACAGGGAATTGTAGCATAATTAATTTGCTAATAAGTGCAATACTTTTTGTGGCATAAAATGGAATCTTTAGTATGTGATTGCAGAACCACACCACCAAAGTAAATAAAATTCCTCACTCTTTAAAACTAATATTTCTGGGAAAAAAAAATTAGTTCTGTCCTCTTTATCATATTTTTGCAGTTGCACAGCTGTGTGATTGTATAAACTAGTGACAAATTGGGCCAATGTAGCAAAATATTTCCTTCCTTAATTGCAAATATAACTAAAATATGCCTCACCTGAGATACTCAGGTGCAGTGGAGACCCTTAAGTATCTGATTGTGAGGTAATTAATTTGCACTCAACCGTCAGCAATGAATGTACAAAACTGATACTGGTAATTAAGCATAATAGGATGGTTCACGTAACTAAAATCAAGAGGATGGGAAGCATATATGGCATTTTCACCTTAAGTGTCTCTGCTTATGACTCTTCAATTCAGAGAATTTCCCAAGGCCAGCATGCTTAGGAATTGTGCACAGTACAGTCAGGAGGCATCACATTCCATTTGGCATTCATGTTTGCTGCCAGAGAGCAAGCACACTGGTTTGTTCTCTTCAAAAAGAAGGCATACAGAGAAGTAGCAGAACATTTCTATTTGCAGTCTTTTGAATCATGTCTACATACTTCGATCTCATCCCTAACAAGCAAGCTACAGGCTCTTCTAATATGTTTCCATGTTAAACAAATGTCATCACAGTATAATGCTTAAGTGGGAAGAATAAAGAAATAGGAATTAAGCATGATGCTGAACTGTAGTATTTGGGATGGCAAGCTGAGAGTCAGCATGCCTGTCCCCCACTCCTGTCCTAGTAACTTATTCATGCTGTCTGTCTTGTGACAGCCTCGCTTGGAGCTGCCTCCCACCACTGCCTCCTGCAGACATATTCCGTAACAAAGCAGCATCTGCTTATGTGCATTTTTGTGTAGGATCAGATTCACTGCACATGCTCAGAGGACACCTACTGCATGGAGACCTGCAGGTGAGCCAGGCAAGGGAAAGCCTGTTTTGTAGTTCACACAGGGTGTGTAGGAGGGAGCTGTCAGGTCCTGTCAATGATGAGATGCAGAGGCATGGCCAAGGCAGATCATTAGTCAAATTTTCATTTAATAAAAGACTTTTACTGCCTTTCAGAGAAGGTGGTTTGGAAAATCAATTTTGGATGAGGTCTTTCTTCATAAGCCTATTTTTTTTTTTCATTTTGGAGTTTTTTAATCTATACCTGAAGTTATAATTTGCTCTAGTATTACATATATGTACCCCATCAATACATTTTTCACTGCAGCGTAAGCTTAACTTCTTTGCTCTTTCCTCTGTTAAGTAAAAGGCCAGGGGATGAGGCTTATTAATAAATCTCTCTGGGAAAATAGCCACGTGGCGTATGCTTCACACAGCAGTACCTCTAGCTTTTTGCAGTGGGCTGCACAATCTGCTGGGGCTGTGGGCCCTCAGACTGGGATCAGCCTGAGGTAACTCTGTTTAGTATCCATCCATTGTTAGAAGCTGCTTTCTCACCAGCAAAAAGAAGTTGCAGAGTGCAGAATGATCTTCTCACTGCTGTCTGCATCCTGTTCCTGGAAGAACCTGGTTATGCTTGAGACCCAAACATCAAGGTTGTTCACAGACTGTGCTGGGGAGTGTCATTCAATCTGTCTAAGGGAAGGATCACAACACTTCAGAGCAAAGGTAATTTTGAGGTCTCACAGTGTGCTGGCAGGTCGGATTGACATCTGGGATGAGCTAATCAGACTGTTAGTATAAAAGCCTAGCAATTTTTTTTTTTTTTTTTTTTTTTTCAGTTACTGAGTCTGTCTTGAAGGGGTGACAAATACAACTACGGATTTTTTGCTTAGCTTCCTAATACTGAGTATACTGGAAAATCAAGACTCCTCTTACCTACATTTTTTTTCTAAAAACAGTCAGCTTAATCTTTTTGGACTCACAGACTATACTTCACTTCCAGAGGTTTATGTAGTTTATAGTCTGATTACTCATCATTTTAAATCTTAAGTCAAATATGCATTTTTCAAGTCCAATAATGGCAAATACTAAAATATCATTAACAGCCTAGTAAGTTTTATCTGAGTTTAGTGTTTTATTACTGATTTAAAGGAGAACATGACAAAAATAAATACTAGTATTCTAAGTACTGACAAATTCCAGGCTCCAGTTAGAAATGCTCAGGCCTGAACATCTAGTAATGGACTTAAGTTGCACCAGGGAAGGTTCAAGTTGGATTTTAGGAATGATTTCTTCTCAGAAGGAGTAGTAATGCACTGAAACAGGCTGCCAGGGAAGTAGTGGAGTCATTATCTCTGGAGGTGTTCAAGAAACAGGAAGATGTGGCACTGAGGGACATGGTTAGTGGGCATGGTGGAGATGTGTTGATAGTTGGACTAGATGATCTTCGTGGACTTTTCTTTATTATTCTGCTATTCTGACATTTTTTAGATAGTGGCTGTGCAGAAACCAGCTCTTGTAATCACTTTTTTTTTTTTTTTTTAATGTAACTTTCTCAACTGTAGCAATTTTGTAACATCTGCCTTCTTTGGAAGATTGTTGCATTTGCTGCTGTCTTTCATTTTATTTTGGTTGTGATTTGGTGTTAGGCAGCCCTTCTTGTTTTGTAAGTTATGCATGTCCTGCATGTCCTGCAGTGTATTCACTGTTCCAGGTCACTAACAAGTAAAAAGAGAGGACTACAAGTCTAACCAATTCAGAAGCTCTCATTCTCATTACAAACTTCCACCTGATTCTTAACTCTTTCCAATTTCTTTCTCCAAGTATTAGTAAGTTTTTATCTCACTGAATATTGACTTGCACTTCAAAACCTTAAATATTAGCTCTGCCTGAGATACTGCACTGGAAAATATCTAGTGCAAACTTAACCAAAGTTCCAGTGCAACTTAACCAAACACATTATGTCTCTCTTCTCCCACATCCCTTCTGATGCAGTATTCACAAAGGCATTAATCAAGTTTGTTAACTAGGCCTGCCCTTTCATAATAGACATCAGCAGCCCAGCCTGAGCATGAGATCTGTAGCTAATTTAGCAGAAAGAAACCTTTCAGAGTATGCTGGAAGGCCAGTGAAGTGTATAAGCATGAGATTAGAGAAAGAGACCCATGCTGAAATGTGAAAATGAGGGGGACCTGTGCGAAGACTTTGGCTGAGTTCCATCACTACACACACTGGGTGGGAAAACAGCTCTGGCGTGAAATGATCATTGCCTACTTCGTAGTGCCAGGGAACTCAAGGATTTTTGCTTGCCATTTATTTCAAGGAAACAAGAATAATTTGTTCTACTTTTCTACAAGATAACACAGGATTCATCCGTCATGCACCATATTTTAAGTTCTCAGAAGTAAGTTAAATATTAAAAAAAAAAAAAAAAAAAAATGTGTTGATGTATGACAATTATTTTAGATATGCAGAGAAGAGGAGCTACTAGCAGGTCAGACCCCTAGCTCCAGAGCTGCTGGAGCTGTCAGTTTTAATGTTTCAGAAGGAGATAATTTCACTTATTTTGAGAGTGTGTGTGTGTGACCAGGGAGGCCAAGAGCTCTTGTTCCTTTCCATTATTCAGTATTTTTTGAACTGTGCATATTTCTTGTGGGTAAAATGTTTCCAACTGTTCAATCACGGCAGCCTGTGAGAATGAGCTGCCCCTCAGGTCCCACATGAGGTGTATGTAGATGGCACGTGAGCATGACTGTGGGATTGTATGGGCTGGACTTGGTGTTGGGATGGGCTGAGCTGTGGGTAAGATAGGATGTACACTGGGGAGCTGCAGTGACCTTGCCCATTTGAAAGATGCCTGCCACAGGAATGTTCTCCTTGTAGCATCTGCCCCTACATTGAAAAAGCTGGAGAGATTGCCACAAAAACTGTGCTTCCCAGAAGGTGATTTGGGCTGGTTTCTTCTCACCTTTCTGCCCTTAGTATGGCCTGCCTTGGAACTGAGTTGACAACCCACATGCATGCTGTTTTGCCTTGTACCATGGAGACATCTCACTGACAAGGACACAAGACAATTGTTGGACAGGCCAATATGTTGGACCTTGTTTGTCATCTTATGGTACAGCAGAAATCAGGCCCCTGGTTGTGCTGGTGATGGAAGTGCTCAGCACGTGGTTGCAGAAATACATAGCTGAGGATGCACATCTACTTGGCAGTAGACATTCTTACTGAGAACAGAGTTGTATCAAAAAATAATAACAAAAAATTTCTTCCTATAAATATTTCCTGTATTACATATTTCATACTATTCACCTTCCCAAGAACTCCAGAAGATACAAAGCTTTTTGGATAAGACTGTTGTGGGGAAGTGATGTCTGAACTAATTCTGTAGAAAGAGCGTGGTTAGCGATTGTGGGAAAAAATATTGTAAAATACAATTATTCCATGGAATGTTAAAAATACACAAGTGCTTTTATCACAGATATGCTATAATTTTTTTCTGAATACCAGACATCTAAGGTCTTGACTGAATGACTTAACAAAGCTTAGTTAACAAATTCCTTTTTATCCCTAGATTGTCTGAATTAAGTGCTTCTCCACTACCACATGAATACTTGGAGATTTTGGATAATAGGATAGTGGAGGGACTTCCAGATGGAATTTAAAGGATCGTAATAATGATGCTGCAGAAAAGTTCCAAAAAAAACCCCTACTTGATGGTCACAAAACACTCATGTTCAGTATTTGCCTTCTTCCATGCACATTTTAGTTAATAAATCATCCATTAAATACTAAGTGCTTGTATTCAAGAAATTATCAGTACTTGGGGTTCTGGACTGTCAAGATGAGTATACCATGAGATTCCAAGTATCTGCTTTGACTCTGAGACATGTATAATGAGATGATCTACTGCTGAATCAACAGAGGGGCAGAGACAAATTTTTCACATGGTTAAGAAATTCCATATACATCTTACCTACTTTTACATGTTAAGTGCTGCTTGCCCAAGAGAAGTGGAATGAAACAGATGGCCTCACAATCAAGAAAAAATGTATGAAAGTGCCCAGATTAAGAGGTTTTTGTTTGTTTGTTTGTTTATATCTTCTAACATAGATGTTTCTATCTTATTGAATCTTTGGATGGAGAACTCCTGTTGCTCTTTATGTGGTGTTACTGGAAAATCAATTGTCTGGAACATACTTGCAGAAAATGAAAAGTTATCCTACAACATCATCCTAAAAGTTGTACTCATTTGAAATTAGATGGAGTATGATCTTATTTCACATCAAAATCAGGTCATTTTCAACCAGCGCCAAAGACAAACTTTGTTTTTCTCTTCTCTGTGCTTACCACATAGCACAGAAAATTAGTTCACAATATAACTTAAAAGATATGCAAACAATCATTTTCAGTACACTTTAAAATTTATCTGTAAAGAAACAGGAACTTGTTTGTGACAAAGCCTTAAATCTTGATGCTCTCTGCATCATTGAATATATCTCTTTGATCCAGCAGGCGCTTGAGGTAAGATTACACAGTTCTAGGAATCAGGCATCTAGATCTGCCTAAGCAAGAAGCTGTACTTCTCATACATTGTCTTCATTTGCTTTACAATAGTAATCTGTATTATTATTGCTTTTGCAGTGCTTCTAGCACAGATTTCTTAAATCTATTTAACTGCTGTATGAAGAACTGTTGTTAATTTCCATCTAGGTTAATTTTCCCAGTTTCTTATATTGTAAAATACTACAAATTAAATATCCTTATCATTTTTTAAGTTGTTTATTATTTTACCAGTTCTTATTATGGACAGCTATGGTTGACTTTACTATGTATCATTTTCTGAAGCTATCAGATAGCTATGACTACTTCTAAGCCTTCCTTTCTTCTGGCAAAATATCTCATAGAAATAGTGCCGATTTCCTAGGAATAAAACTTTATTGCTATCCAATTATATTAACTTCAGTCCCTGAACCTCTGAGTCTAGAACTGGAGATAGAAAGAGCAAGACAAGAGAGATGCTAATTGAGGTGTAAATGCCTACGGATGATTCTATTTGTTTGTTTTGTTGATTCAAATTTCTTAGCTTGGTGTTAGTGATGTAGAAGGAAGAATTTATGTGGTAATGAGGCTGGTAGTGAAGTGAGATAGTATACTCTGTAGCAAAACAACATGGAATGGGATTTAGAATCAGGGCTGGAAAACAGACATGCACCAGTTAAGACTTCTTAACTGAGACTTAATTAGAGAAGTCCTCACTGAGTTTGTTAAAATTCTGTAAGAGTAGGGAAAGTCTCCAATGAATATGTATAGGGAAAGCAAGCTATGTGACTGCTCTGTGACAAACACAGGCATTACAGCTATTCCATCCTTGAAACAGCCATCTCTCAAAGAAACATCATTATGGACAAAAATATTAAGTACAGCACGGGGGGTAAGTTCATATACAGTAGCAAGACAGTGTCAGTCAGCAGCCATTTCTAAAGTATTATGAAATGACAATTTCAAAGTAACAAAGAACTTTTAGAATGTTTCATTTTAACACTAAAGAGCAATAATTACTATTATCAAACTCTTTGTGTTTTAAAACTGCATACTTTTTTTAAGAATGATGCACTGAAGTAAACTACAGGCAATTCAAATCAAGCAGTGTAATCCTGGATTATAATAAACTTTAGAGTTTGTTTCCATACCTGTTGTTCTCCTGACTGAATATTAAAGATTTAAAGACCTGAATATCATATCTACATAGTTTATATATGTGAAGTTACATTTTTAGAACTTTATGTCAAATTTTTTTTTATGAGATCTGTCTTTCTCTAGCTATGGGGTCAATGTGGCATATACCATTTCAAATACAGATATTCTTCAGTGGAAAACAGACATAAATGAAAGAGACCTCCAACTAAGATTTCATTCCTCTGAAATTTTCATGTGGGAAAACTTTCATTGCTGCCATCCTGCATCTAATTTGATCTACTTTGCAGATTAAACACAATGGAATTTACAAGTATACATATTTATATTGCAAACTCATTACAATTAATATAACAGGAGTGGAAACACAATGCGTCTCCATACAGATCAACTGTGCAGATCTCTTGTTAATTCTTCCATTTCTTATCTGATTCTGACATGGGAAACACAGCATACCCAGTACTAGTCATCACATTTTAGGTCAGTTTTGAAAGAAAAACTTCACAGAGCAATGAGCCTTTGCATGCAAGAGCAGCCAGTGGACTGCAAGGGAGATGAGGCAGAACTGAATTCAGAGTCTGAAAAATCATCAATGAGAGAGCTCTGGACAAAGGAAAATAATAATGTGAGGAGCTGAAAAAGACAGATACTGGGCTTGCAGCCAACTGAACTCATCACTTACCTGAAATATTTTTGACAAGTTGTCAAAGAGGGCTTGTCCAGCACTGACTTTGTGCTTGACACCTCTGACTGTGCCATTTTTGCTGAGAATGTTGACTCGCTTTGTACCAAAACCCTTCTCTTTTGTGGCTCGGACTAAAATGAGTAAGTCATCCTGCTCATTTTCATTTTCATCACACTCAGAGCCACCGTGCCCATTCTGCTGGCCCTCCACCTCGCTCAGCCGGCTGGTCTGGTCAGTCTCTGAGCTGCTGGTGTATTCAGAGTCCAGTGAGTCGGTGGCTTCCCCATCAGCATAGACCTCCTTCAGCACCCGGCCACTGTGTGAGGATGCCACACGGAACCGCACTTTCCTTGACAGCCTCTCATTTTCCGCCTTCACCTCACCCTTAAACATGGTCTCTTCCACTGATATAAGCAGTTTGCATTGTTCCAGGGTGGTGTCCATCGGGTCTGCCAGTTTGTCACGCTTAACAACAATACCAGCGCTGTTTTCTTCTGATGAGGATTCTCATATTAAGCCAGAGGATTCCCAAGAACCTACGCTGCTATTCAGCGCTTAATAATGAATGTGTTTGTGCTATGGTTACCTTTAAACTAAAACCTGTAAAATGATATCATCAATTAAATATTAAAGAGCCATTGTGTAGTTTTTAGCACTAAGGAAGAAAGGGAGAAATTGTATTATTTGAATAAAAAGTCAGAACTGTACATGACGAACCCAGACAAAGACATTCCAGGAATTTGTGTAAATGCAATTTTTGTTTGCTGAAGAAGGCAAAAAGGAAGAGTTTTCCACAAGATCTGTAGATGCATGGCTGTTCATGCACATTACACCTGAAGTGAAAATTGTCATCCTCAACACTGAAGAGGAGTTGGTGATGGGAACACCTTTCATTGCTACGCTTGATTCACCTACCAGCCATACCTCAGTCACCAAAATTTTCTTTTTATGTAAGCTTACAGCAATTAGGAAGAGAGCCATGACTCAGTGTTCTGTGATGCTGGCCTTCTCACAGACTAACAGAGCAGAAGAAAATCAGTCACAATTTGCTACAAAATAACGCAGTGATATTAAATTGAACTAAGCCACTGCTATTATCACACAGTTACCATGGCTCTATGTTCTTGTTTTTCTCAAAGGACTTCACCAAGGGAACGTGAACAAACGAATAGGAGAAAACTAATTAATTGGGGCAACAAGCGGCAAATAAAGAAATGAAGGACCACAGTAAGGTGAGCAAATTCTGTCACCACAAGAAGTCATAAGCAGAGCTTGGAGCAATATTGAGCACCTTACTACAGGTATATATATTTAGTATAAATGCTATAGAAACTTCAAGTTTCTGGATGTCTATTCAATATAATGCAGTAAAACATATGAACACAAAGCATGGAGATCCATAAATGTAGTAAAACATATGAACACAAAGCATGGAAATCCATACTTACAGTGCTTTACTTTCATTTTCTCCATCTGAAGTAAAATGCATATAATCACCTAGAGCAGCATCGAAAATAACATTCCTTTCCCAGTTTCCTGGCAAATGTTCCCTATGCACTCTCTAAGCTTCATTTTCTCTCTAGCCTCGTGAATAATGAATGGCATCCTGAAGCCTGAGCCCCTCAGACAGGTATAGGCAAGAAATGAGTCCCTAGATGTTCAGCCATTCCAGAATGATAATACATGAGCAGCTGCAGAGCTTCAGGCATCTGAGGAGGCTTTCTGGACAAGATTTTGGAAATGTGAGCTCCAATCATTCAGCAATTAGATGGCAGTTATTGCAGCTTTCTTTTGAACAAGAGACATTAAATGCTGCACTTCTGCCCAAAATCACGCTTCTTCAGAAGAAAATATGAAATTACTTATTTTTCACCTGTAAAACAGGAACACAATTTATTAGTGGCACTTTCTAGCATTAGTAGTTCTCATATTTCTTTCAAAAAGGAAATGTCACTATATTAACAGCTGTACCTATTTCGCTGTATTATCAACTGTGCTATCAACTACATTAGTTTGCTACATTATCAACTAATACTACTAACACAGAAAAAAAATAAGTAAAAATAATAAGTTATTGGAGTTAAAACTAACTTTTATTCATCTTTCAGAGAATAAAAATGGTCAGTACTAATATTGCATGCAGATACCTTTTGAAATTCATTTTAGGGGGTGGATTGATACTCATTGTAATATAGCTGCTTGCCCACAGGAGATTTGATAGCAAATGTTGTTCGTTATTACTAAAAGCTGACTTTGAATTATTAGTATTTCGTAGCAGAATGCTTGTTTCAAAATATCTTTTATGTAATTACCCAAATAGGGCCAGAAGGTACCTAAATAAGACATTGAGCCTGTTGCCTATGCCAAAACAGGCTGTATCATGGTATTATATGATTACCAGTGTAATCTCCTCTTAGAAATCTGCTGAAATTATCTTCTTCTTACTACTCTTTTTTTTTTTTTTTTTTTAATTAAATAAAATACAAGTGCTTTGCAATGAATTGCCACAAGTAAGGAAATCTGAGCTTCTACAACAGAAACATTTCGCAAAACATATTTATAATATTTTTAATCTCCTCTAAATGATGCTGTATATTTTTTAACATTGAAACCACTTCATTCTAGTTCCAGACAAAGTGGAAGATTTGATGATATCTAAGTGATTTAAAAAGCTAATGTAGCATTGAAGTAATATAGAATTAATTTGTACAACATTTTAAAAATACTTCAAATACTATTAATAACTTATTCTCTGCTAGTAGGAAATTGGCTTGTCACTTAGTTTCATGGCAATCCAATTATTCACTGGAAAACATGTTTGTGTCTGGTTATGAGAACAAAAACCAAATGTATGCAGGATTTTCTCTACAAGAAAGCAGGAAAGCATAGTGGAGAATGCCCCTTGAAAGAGGTATGTACACACAAGGTTTCATCTTGACATTCCAAGCTGTGTATCTTCTCTGAGTAAATGTGACTTTTCAGGGCAAGTACACATAGCCAGCAGGAAACAGATTACAGACTCTAAAGTGATTATATTCGTGACATAAGACATCTGAGAGTTCAAAGAACTGAAATGCACATTTGTACCATCTGTGGAACAAGATATCAACAAATAAAAAGGATAGAATTTGACTAAGCATCTGTCTCTCCTGTATAATTAAATTTATTCACTCCTGTAATGAATGCTGACACTAACCCTGCTTATCCACTGATGATGCATTCTGACAATTTATATATTTGTGCTTCTCATTTCCTAGCTTCTCTCAACAAAGTTACCTTCATTCAGTTATTTCTTTAAAAAAAAAATTAATAAAGTCACAAGATTTGACACTAATGATATATTTCCTTCTCTTAACAATGAATCTTCTTTTAACATTTGGCTATTGGTTTTTTTTTTTTCTTCTTGGTTTGATTTTAATATTTGGGCATTGGGATGGGATGGTCAGTATATGTAAACACAAAACATGTGGAGAAAATAAGAGATTTCTCCTGAACAGAGAATCACTGTGTAGTGGAAATGCTAAGTCAGGGCTTGAATCAGTCATTGAACACCTGTTAGGAAGACAGGACCAAGCCAGGGGAGCTCAGGTGCATGCAATTCACCTGTGTCACGAGAAGGGGTGAAGCCAGGATCCATCCCTTCCCAGACCTCATTTAAGAGTAGGCAGTGAAGCCAAGGATATCTTGTTGGAAATCCCTGCATCCCTGAGGCCTTCTGAAGGTAGATTATGTCCTTGCTTTGGTTTGTTTTTTTCTGTGAAAACAGATGTTGCTTTTGAAAAAGTCCACATTTGCTGCAGTCTATGACCTTGCTGCTTTATTGTTATTGCTGTTCTATCCATTGTGTTAGAGGTTTACATACTATAGGTACTACAGTTGTGTACACACTGTATCCATTCTTGGGCTCCAGAGAAGGAATGAGTGACAAGGAACCAGCCCAGTCTGTTAGCTTGATGTTGGTAACATCATTTCCAGTAAAATCCTCAAACTTAACCACTTACAATTTTATCAATAAGTTGAAAGGAATAAAGAACATGGTTCTTTTGTTAGTTATTGACATACTTCTTAACATACAGTTCAGGAAATTGCCCCCAAGGAAGCCCAGTGGAGAGGTGCTAAACAGTTCAGCCTAAAAGACTGATATCTGCTCCCAGACAGACTTCTGAGAATCTTCCATGCTCTTATAGGCAGCATGCAATCCACTGCATCTTTCCTACATGAGAGTAGCAAAAAGCTATCTTACTAATTTAGCCTAAGTACATACCCTTTAAATTACTGCAATTAGGTCAGGTGAGCCAAATTATTCAAGAATGAATCACATTATGCAAAAAGTTAGACTTACAACTGTGTGGAGAAAAGAGCAGTTGTATTTTTTCCTTATGTATTATTATTTTTTTTACGATCCATAAGTTAAAGAGAGTCTAGAAGCATGTGAAATAAGAGGTAGTTGTTCTGTCATATTGTTCCCTAGTATAATCAATATTATAGCTTCACGGTCATTTCCATTCTCAGAGCTCCATGTGAAACAGCCTCACCAGCATCAGAAATACTGGAACCCTGTCCTGAGATGCCTCATAATTTTATACATTTATTTCTCTTAGCTTCCAGTAGGAAGGTGGACTACGCACTGGGTCTGTTACAGAAAAATGAATGTAACACAAGTATTGGAAGTATGAATCCAGTGTTCAGTTATGTTAGAGTAAAATGGGAGTAAATAACTAATGCTCGTAAAACTCAGTTTAGAACTACTCCTCCTGAAACTACGGTTTGTTAAGTAGCCTAAGTAAGTTTTTCAGGGTTGCTTTGTTCACAGACAAAATCTTGTATCTCTGGGTAATTCAGCTATAAGTTTTAAATATAATTCTAGCACGCTTCTATCATCTTGTGACTCTTAAATACTTATATGCATGTGTATACCAGATACAAGACCTTTTAGCCATTTTTATAAAGTAGGCACCTGTGCTTCCAGTATTTTGTACAAATTCCAGCTAAGTTGTTGCATTCTGCATCAATAACTTTCCCTGTGATCCTAATTGGATGTGGTGGTCTTCTCCTCATATTGCTATGTTCTTCTAAACAGCTACTGAGTTCTACCTTGATCTGTCAGCATTTCATTAGTAAGTGACCTTACTTAAATGCTCTCTTAAAAGGTTTTGGAGACAATAAAGATATAATTACATAGTTTTGCTGGTTTTACTCTGAGATGCTTTTAAAGAAATGAAAGGGACTTACAGGTACTGAGAGTAGGCTTCAGGTTTTTAAAATTTTATTCTTGCATTGTGAAAATGTTTTTCAGGTTGGTTTATACCAAGTGGCTTTAAACTGGTAATATGTGGGTTTGGACTCTACCTTGGAGAGAACCAGTGCTATCAACTCTCTCTTAACCAGATTTA